ATTAGATTAGATTACTTTCGATCGAACAAGATGCCTGACGAGTGGAGGAGAAGTATATTGGTATCGATCTACAAGAATAAAGGGGATATTCAAAGTTGTACTAATTGCCGGGGAATTAAGTTGATGAGCCATACTATGAAGCTATGGGAGAGAGTTATCGAGCATCGCTTGAGAGCAATAACGCGGGTCTCTATGAACTAATTTGGTTTTATGCCCGGAAGGTCAACCATGGAAGTCATTTTCTTAATAAGACAAATTATGGAGCGGTATAGGGAGAAGAAGGACCTACATATGGTTTTTATTGACTTGGAGATGGCTTATGATAAAATATCAAGGAATGTTATGTGGTGGGCTTTGGACAAACATAAAGTCTCAACGAAGTATGTCGGGCTCATTAAGGACATGTACAACAATGTGGTGACTAGTGTTCGAACAAGTGATGGAGACATGGATGACTTTCCGATTAGGATAGGACTACATCAAGGGTCAGCTTTGAGCCCTTATCTGTTTGCCTTAGTGATGGATGAGGTCACAAGGGACACACAAGGGGACATCCCTTGGTGTATACTTTTCGCGGACGATGTAGTGCTAGTTGATGAAAGCCGGACAGGAGTGAATAAGAAACTGGAGTTATGGCGGGAGACTTTGGAGTCCAAAGGTTTTAGACTCAGTAGAACTAAAACTGAGTATATGAGATGTGACTTCGGCACTACTACTCGGGAGGAGAAAGATATTAGTTTAAAAGGTCAAGTAGTGCCTAGGAAGGATACATTTCGATATTTAGGATCAATGCTACAGAGAGACGGGGATATTGATGAAGATGTTAGCCATAGAATCAAAGCAGGGTGGATGAAGTGGCGCCAAACATCTGGTGTCCTATGTGACAAAAGGGTACCACAGAAGCTAAAAGGTAAGTTTTATAGGACGACGATTAGATATGCTATGTTGTATGGTGCAGAATATTGGCCTACGAAAAGACGACATGTTCAACAGATAAGTGTCGCGGAAATACGTATGTTGCGTTGGATTTGCAGTCATACAAGAAGGTATCGAGTTCGGAACGATGATATACGTGATAGATTAAGGGTAGCACCAATTGAAGAAAAGTTTGTCCAACACCGGTTGAGATGGTTTGGACATGTCCAACGGAGACCTCCAGAGGCACCGGTGCGTAGTGGAATCATAAGCCAGGATAGTAGCGTGAAGAGAGGCAGAGGAAGACCGAAGTTGACTTGGGTAGAGGCAATAAAAGAAGACTTGAAAGGATGGAATATACCCAAAGACTTAGCCTTAGATAGGAGTTATTTGAAAACAGCTATTCACGCGCCTGAACCTTGATTGCTTTTGCTAGGTTTCAACTCTAGCCTACCCCAACTTGTTTGGGACTTAAAGGCTTTGCTGTTGTTGTATTAGATTAGATTACTTGTAATCACCTAGAATACTTGAAGTAGTTTGGTCATCTATGTGTACATTTGGTTTAACATGCCAAATGTAGTTTGCCTTAGAATATTTAGAAATACATATAATACTTATATAGTTTAGCATTGCCATTTGGTTTCATTCTTAAGTACTTTAGTTTCCTATCATCTATGTGTACATTTACTTTAGAATTTAGATTACCAACAATACTTAATATAGTTTGGTCAAAATCTTTTGTAGATGGATAGTTTAGTTCGTTTGTTTCATGGAGGAAGAGTCAAAGCAAACGGCGAGTTTGAGAATATGGAAGATGAGATCGAATTGTTTGACACACTGCCTAGCCTTTGGGATCTCTTGTGCCGTGTTAGGGAGAAGTTTGACGGTGATTTCACGCTGAAGGGAAAGTTTGATTGTGGGAGGATTAGGGCACATTATGTGTTGATGAGATTGCCTAACGAGGCACATTGGTTGCGCTACAAAAAGGTAGTTGAAGGAGCCAATGTTTCATGCCTTGAGGTCGTGGTCGAGAATGGACATAGGAAGAAGGATTTGCAATCCGTTGATGGCATTGGAGGTGATGAAAAGCTAGGTATGATGTTGAGGCACCGGGAAGCCTGGTTGAAGACACCAACTTGACGGAGGAGCCCATTCAATCTTTGTCGTTGATGTGTTCTCCGGTGGCCGTGGAGGATTGTAGGAGGTATTCAAATGCCGTTGTAAACAATGACTTTGATGTGGGTACATATGAGAACGACGAGTGGGAGCAAGAGGAGGAGGACAATATTGATGATTATGATACAACAAATTCTGAAAATTCGGATGAGGAAGGAGACCTAGATGGTGATGATCTTGCTGAAATAAGAGATGTTGATGAGGTGGAAGACGGTCCTGAAGAAGAAGGTAATCGTGTTGAAGAACGAGATGATGAGAGAAGAGGCAGAGATGAGTTGGAAGGTTCACCTACACAAGATCCGACTGAGGATGGTGCATGGATGAGGTTTAATGAAACATGTCAGTTCATGCCACCAGATAGTTACACAACCAATGAGATGAGGCAACTCCGGTCGGTTCTTGTACATGTTCCTAGTGTTCCTAACTACATGGACATTAGGATGACTGATAAGGTTATATGTGACACCGGGTTGAATTTGGCTAGGGAGTCAGTTTATGATCCAAATAATGAGATCATTAGTAAGGGTATGATATTCAATACATTGAATGAGTTGAAGTTGTTCCTTCAGGACTATGCGGTGAAGCACCATAGGCCATACACTGTTACTCATTCCGATCAAAACAAGAGGTATACCATAATTTGCAAGCAAGGCTGTCTTTGGAAGTTATGGGCTCGCAGGAAGACAAACAATGGAAAATGGAAGATAAGAAATGTGGTTCAACCTCATACCTGTGGTACAAGTGACACGAAGCAGTACCGTGGTGTGTACCACTAGCGCGACTGCTCTGACGCGGGGTACACTCCCAACGCGCTCCCCACAAACCCAAAGAGGCAGAGGCACCAACATACCAATACACTCCAGGGAACTAAAGTGTTCTGTTGATCTGTTCTCTTTGTGCTACACAAGTGTATGTTATATGTAGAATGACTTCTAGTATTTGTTGAACTTAAACACCTATCTTCTGTATGAGTTGTGTAACAATGGTGATGCTATGGACTTAATGTTACACCTACCTTTTGTAACAATGGTGATGCTATGGAATTAATGTAATGTAAAACTTAATGCTATCAAGTTAACACCTATCTTGTTTAGAATTTTTTTATTGTTAATCCTTTTGTGAACAATGGTGTATGACTTGTGAATGGCTTGTGTAGCAATGACTTAATGTTATGGACTTATTGTGTATGTCCGAGAATATTCTAATGTGATGCTATGATTAGTGAGTGCATGTCTGAGAACACTCCAGAGTGAATGGATTACAGAATACAGGGAAAACTGTTGATAGCTGTTTTGTCAAAAACAACTCAAAATTGACTTAATGTTATGGACTTATTCTGCCTACTTGTGCAAATGATGGCATGCCACCCGCCTGGCACGACAATGCAGTTTTGCCACGCTAGGGCGTTGACACGCCCAAAGGGGTTAGTTAAAAAACAGAAGTGGGTTCAAAAATAAAATATCTTTTGAAAAAGGATTAAAATAAAAAATCCAAACTTATTGGTTATTATTATGACCATTTAAATATTTTTTTGTTATTTTCTACTTGTAGCTGTTTTAAAATTTTAGTTGTATACTGTAGGTATACCCTGGGTTCGGTCTGCTACTGGCTAATTGCCAGTGGCAGCTGCGCCAGGCGTGTGGTGGTTGACTGGTGGCCGAACGAGGTTTTCATCTGCGCTTCGACGACAATGATCAGTGACTAGGTACGCCATCCTTTCCCTTCTCTTGCTGTAGAGAACCGAGCACCCCAGTGCTATATGCATTCTAATTTGTCTTGGTCACTAGTATTTACATGTATCCTTCCCTGTTCCCACTAACTTTGATTTTTTAGGGAGAGTTATCGGGTGTACACCACTGTCCTATCTTGGGGCCCGTTGTATACGTAGTGTGTTTGCGGAAATGTCCTCAAGCCTCAAGTGCGGTGGCGGTGCTTTCGCCTTAGACTCCTCACCTTCCGGACTCCTCTTTCTTTGCCGCTCTCCATCCTCCCGTCCAAAGTCTCGGCCACACCATCGTAGGGCCGGTCTCTAGATGTGCAAGTCCTTTTTTTCTCAATCACGCAAAAGATTTATGCGTTTTTGTATTAAGTAGAAGAATAGTTTGTTACATCTCGGGTGGTTTACAAGATTAACACCGAGCGCACTCCACCCCGCCGACTTCTTCTAAACCTATTACTCATTGAATTAAACAACCTAGGTGCTTCAGACCGCCCGACCCATAGCTCGCTGCTGAAGTTTGATGGTTGCCTTGATCGCGGAATCGTGTGGTCGCTCCGCTGAAACAACGCTAGCATTACGTTCTTTCTAGATTTCCCAAGCGATTAGCGCGAACATGGAGTCTGCGCCTCTTGCAAATGACATTTGCCAAAGAGCTCTCCAAGTCTCGCCACCGATCGACAATGGCGCCGGTGGTTGCTTTCGGTCGAAGTTAGCCCAAGCGCCGTGGTCGCCTTGAACCACAATCGCCTGGCGAAGGAACATTCGGCGATGATGCGATCAATGGTTTCCGGTTCGATCGCACAGAAGCGGTGTCGTGTGCATCGAGCCCATGCTTCCGCTCGTCGTCTCCATTGCCCATTGTCGGCGGTGAACCGCCACCAGAGAAACAGTTGACCTTGAGCGGCGCCCACACCTCCCAAATCCGGCGACGGCCCGGAATGCGGTGAGAACCGAGATGTAATGCCCGATAAGCCGATCGGACCGAGAAGCTTCCGTCGACTCCCCATCGCCAGATGAGGCGGTCTGCGCGTGCGTCCGTGAGGACGATGTCTTCAATCGCGTGCGGACACGCAAGTATTCCGCGGCTCTTTGGGCGATTACTCACCGGATATGGTGCGCACTCAATGCTCGCCCTCTGAGTGCTTCCGCCACCATGAGCCCATGAAATTTCCAACACACAATGGTTGTGTTATCCATTGTTGTTGTCGGCCATCGAAGCGAAATTTTTAAGCCAGCGCCGACGGCGCGCCTCCTGCGGCATGCGATGTGGCCATCGTCCGAATAGTTCCTGAAGCGCCTCGTCGTCCTCCGGGTTGTTTCGAACAAAAGCGTCAATTTGTTCTGGCGATGGATGCGGAGAGTGGGGAAGCGTGCCCAAAGGCGTTTGAGCACCAAATACTCCCCACGCTTGACGCCGGAATCCGCGACAGACTACTGCGCGATCCTCCGGCCAGCGTCGGCCTTTTCTCGGGCATTTCGCCGCCTTATGCAGTGATGGGCGCTTGATGGCGCCCGCAGCTTTGGGCCTCTTGACCTTCACCGTGAACGACTTGAACCTTCGCTGCGCCGATGCCGTGTCCTTCGGCGGCGATGGTGTAGTGCGCTCCGGCCTGTTGACCGGTGGCGTTATAGCCCCCTGTTCCCCGTCCGGCACCGTCCCGTCCCATGGCGGCGATTGGTGGGCTATTGAACGATTGGCATCAATCGCTTTCGGCGGCTGGACCGCCTCCACAGGCCTCATGGGGCGGGTGGGCGTTGGGCCGAGGTGCTCTCCTTCATGGGTCGGCGACAGCGGGCTTTTGTCCGGCCCACCCTCCGCCTGTGTCCGGTCCCCCTGTGTTGACGTGGCGGCGTCCTTTGCCTTGGCTGCTTCTTCTGCTGCCAACGGACCATCGTCGATGTCGTCCACCACTGGGTCCCCAGAAACGGCTTTGATTTGAATCTGTACCGGTTGCGGGATCGCTATCGCTTCATCTGCCGTTGCTGTCCGGTCCCCGCCGTCCGCTTCAGTTGTGACGTCGTCGGCCGCCGCCTCCGGTATTTCCGCCCTGGAATCGGGTGATTGGTGGCCGCTTGTCCCGAGCTGCTCATCGGTGGCTACCGCCTCCTGGGCATCTAATCTTCTACCGTGGGTCGGGTGGGGAGCAATATCCCAGTGCGTTCTCATCTTGGTGGCGGCGAGCGGTTGTCGCCTTTTGGCAATCTCTGGCCGGGTTGGTGTTGCTTCTTGTCTCTTAGCTTGCCTAGGGCGCTTGAGACTTGCCGCGCGCTGCTGGGCGCTTTCCGCTTTTTGATCGGGCGAGGCTGTCAGTAGCTTCCGATTCGGCCGGGAGCAGTACACGAGCCTTCCCGTATGGGCCTAGCCTTTGGTGTCTTAGAGATACGCTTCTTGCCTGAGCCTGGCGGTCCCGGTTTCTATCCTGCCCCCGCCGCCGATGTCCCTGGAGCATTACCGTCCGGCTCGCCACGGCGGCAGGGGAAGGGGTAGATCTCTGTGCTGGAATCGCGGTGGCCGTGGTGATGCTCGCTGCTCGCCGCCCCTTGGTTGGTCGTCGGACGAGGATCCATCACCCCACGTAATCCGGGCCGCGCGTGAGTAGTCATGAACGCGCATCTCGTGGACGATGATCCTGTATCGCAGCGTCAAGCCCTTCTTCCACAGAACGGTTGAGTCCCGCGAATCGACCCCTCCGGTCTCCGCCGATCGACCTCGTGCTCACGACATTGAGCCATAAGATTTGTGGCAGGGAGCTCGACTTATTCGTCCATGATGTGAGGCTGAACGAGGATAGGTCGTCGGCGGCGGCCGTGATTGGCTCGATGCTCAGATCCAAAGAAGACGGCGCGAGGAGCTTGGCGTGGTATCTTTCACGCCAGACGCGTGCGGCGGCACCCCTCAAGCTCGACGGTGAGCTTGTACCGTAGCGTCGATAGGTTTGCGTCGCCACCGAGTCCACGGTAGGAGCACCGGTGACGTGTCGTTGAGCGGTACCGGCGATGCCGCCGCACCCGGTCCTTGATCGCCGGTGAATCGCACAAGATGATGAATTGCTCCGGTAGAACTTCTTGACCGGACATCGTCCGCCCACCACCTAATGCGGCCATGACCGCCAATGAGAATCCTCCGATGTGGAGCATCCAACGGTGAACCCGCTTTCGGTTTGCGCGATGAGGGCTAGGTGCGCCGCCTCTCCATGGAGTCCGTGGCTGGTCGCTGTTGGATGAAGCACTCGGCCTCCCGCGCCCTAGTGGCCGGGTGGCGAGTGGTGCCCGTCGACGAACTTCGGATGCGTGCTCCTCGGAGGATCGGTCGGGAGTGGCGGCGGCTCGAGAGGTGGCGTCGGGCCCCTCGCAATGACCCCATGCGTGGTGGAGCCGTCGCGGCCGCCTTCGACGAATCTTCGCCCGCCGGCTCTCCCCGCCGCCGGCGTGGTCTCTTAACCGCTTGCGGTCCTTTGCCGTGGTGGTGCGATCGGGCAGCAGAGACGACCTGCGGCGGCAGACGCACGCGTAGCCACCACAGGATCATGGGAGAGGCAGTTGAGGCAGCGACCAGCGAATTCCGGTGGGATGCGGTGGCCGGGCTGGGACTGGGACTGTCTTTGCGACGCTCTTGGCGGAGGACGGCCCTCGTCGCGCAGGAGCACCTTCTGCCAGCCATTGGCGTCCGGCGGGGTGGCTCGTCTCTGGGGCCCCAGCCGCCGATGGGCGGGGACCCTCTCCGCTGCCTGAGGGCCGATCCTCTGCGTCGCCGGGACCCGCTGCGTCGCCGTGGCTCTGCCCGTCCCCCGCCGAGCCGCTGCTCTGGCGCGACGGCGGCTCTGCGTCTTGGTGGGTGCGCAGTGACTCGCCTCGGCCGCGGTCTCCCCCGGGCCTTGGCTGTCAGGCTGCGCACCCGCGCGACCCGTCGAGACGGCCTCGCACCCCCGGCGTGCCACGTCGAGGTATGAGGCAGCCTCCGGCGAGCTGTAGTCGAAGTCGGTGTCGGAGTCGTAGGAGTCCATCTCCCACCGCTGCGACTTGCCCCTTCCCGCCGACCGTGCCCCTGGGAAGAAGGGCTCGGCGTCTGGGGAGAGGGCGGAGGGGGAGGAGGCGGCGTCCTTACCTGAGGCCGGCGAGGTGAAGGTGGCTGGCGGCGCCTGAGCGGTCGCCGGCAGGGCTGGGGAGGGGGAGGGGGAGGGAGGAGGAGGAGCCATCCAGACCCTCTCCCTTAGAGACAACGTATCATGTTTTCCTCTAATACATATTCAAGGGAGGTGTCAGGTCATAGTGCCATCGTTCCTCATCTTGGAAAATTCTAGATGTGCAAGTCCTGCTGCCCCAAAGCTCATCTCGGTCCAGTTCTATCCTCCGGCTTCCAAATTGATGTGGTTGACTCTGGCCTCTGGACCGCATCCTTTCGTTTCTCTTCAGAGGCTGCAGGGGGCAATGAGTACCTGGATGACCTCCACCGGCATGACACCAAAGAAGTGCAAGACTTTGATGTAAGATCCATGACATGCAGCATCGCAAGAAGCTATTTTACAAGCTGGACCGGCAATCCAAGGAGTATGAAGAGAACATCCTGCCCTTGTGCCGAAGCAGGAATATGGACAAAGCCAATGCCAAGAACCCAAAGAACGCAAGAAGGTGGAGCCTGACAAGTCTGTTTCTTCCAATGTTCTGAAGCCAAAGGCAAAGCGTGCAGTTAGAGATGACAACATGTTGAAGTGAAGCGGGAACGGATGCCAACGTTCATTCAGATGACTGATCCTTACCACCACCCTCTGCCTCGATATACATGTCACGAAGGGATCGGTGCGTGCATGCTTCGTGCACCGAGTGACGAGCAGGGTGGTGGCAGTTGCACATTCTATATCAAAGGATATGAAGTTTGTTCTTGGTTCAAGGAAGTGTAAGGGTATGAAGGCATGTACCGCAGTTGGTGCATTGCTTGCAAAGCGTGCATTAGAGGATGATATTCACAATGCACTGTATACACCAAGGAAAGGGGATAGGAGTGAAGGAAAAATTGAGGTTGTGTTACGTGCTATTATTGAGAATGGAGTTGATGTCAAGGTGAAACTGAAACAAAGAAAGCCGGTAAAGGTATTCCATAGCATGTACTATTTTTTTTTCAGAGCTTCAGAGTTCAAGAGTTTTCTTTAGGTTTTATAATCGTTTTTCCTTCAGGTGCAGCATATCAAGTATGGCATATATCAGTACTTTATCAAAATATTAGTTCATTGATGCTCAAATGTGTTAACTCATAATCTCATACACAACTGATATTTGGAGCGAGCTCATCATTAAACCTTGAAATGCAGAGGTGAACAAAAGCAGTTACCTAGTGAAAATCTAAATACAACTTCTTTTGAAATCACATTGACATATGTGTTTTTTTGTATGTGTACATAGTAAGATTATTGATTTGTTCATCCTTTTTCTGACTTCTTTTAAAATTCAGTTTTTGCTAAAGTAACAAAAGGACAAGGTTAGGTCTGTAAATTTTTTTGTGAGACTAGTAACCAATGCAGTAGTAAACATTATGGTCAAAATTTGTTACGTGAACTTTCAAAATTTTGAAAAAGAAAAGATGAACAAAACTGGTTTTCTGTGTTCCACTCAATAATGCATTTGTGACTTCCTGGCTTTCAAATTCTTTGATCAGGGGCTCAGGGCCTGTGTTTATTGATGCAAAACTTCCATTGGAGAGGTGTGCAGCGTGACAGTAGAGAAAGTATGCAGAACTCTTGTGCACCTGTGGAGAAGTCCTGAAGCTTTTGTGGCCAATTTTTTTTGCTGCAGAACTGAAGATATTCACTTCGCTTTTGCTAAATTTACTAGCTGGCAGTGGTGTTGTTATTTGATTGAATGCTTACTATAGAAAATACTCGACCATATAGAGATACAAAATGTTCAGTAAATCAAAATTTCTTTATCCAATGTTGTAGTGCTGAGGTCTTTTTTTTTGAAATAGTGCTGAGGTCTTTGATTTACGGTACATTACCCTGCTCACTTTATGGTCAGTTGGTCACCAGTCACAGCTTTAACAGAACACATAAAATTCAATGTGCCCTCCGCAATTGGAGTCAAATTCATCAGAGTTGAATTTCTATATGGCTACACGCTGTCAAGAACTAACGATGCTTGGCCTCACTGTTTCTTTTACCTTCACTTGCAGAATACAGTGGGCGGCACAGCATGATTGGTCCGTTTCAACTATTGTTCAGCACAACTCCTGATTTGCATGAGCATGACCCGATGCTTCAGAGCCCGTATAATTTCATCTGCAAAACTGATAGACAAGGGGGGCACAAGCAACTGAAGGAAATGTGGGCATGGGGCAGTCCTCCCAGGTGTTTCTAGCGGTATTGTTTGGTGTGTAGCTCGCATTCTCAATCGTGGAGCCTTAGACACACATACTCACGCATTAGCTGAAGTCTGTGTTAGTAGGGTTTAGGCATGTGATGGCACAACTCAGATCCCTGTATTTGACGCACACAACAGTCACAAACGGCTTGCATTTGTGCGAGAGTGAGTAGTTCGGTGAAAGTAATCTGCCGATTGGGATAGAATACCCCATCAGGCCATACAACAGTCACAAACGCACACAAGTCACAATTTCAGTTATGCCCAGTTGAAACATAACCATTGTAACATAGCGGTTATAAATATATTCATTCAAATTGCAGGTGTTCAAATTGACGTCGTTTAAAGAGAAATATATTCATTCGAATCATAGGTGTTCAAATTGATGTTGTTCAAATTCTGGGAGCCAGGCCTGACGGTTTCACCAGCGCCTTTTACAAGATATCCTGGCATGTCATGTGGGAAGACATCGACGGCAGGGAATTCGGGAAGCTGAACAACGGCCTTGTCGTGCCCGTGCCAAAGAAGTTAGGCGCGGCAACCCCAAATGGCTTCAGGCCAATCACGATGGTATACCTCCGCCAAACTCGTCTCTAAGCTGCTAGCTCAGCGAGTGGCTCTCAGAATGCACGAGCTAATATCCAGCAATCAGAACGCCTTCATCCATAGACGTGCCAATGCGTCCTACGCAAAAGGAAAATTCCAAAGCTACCACTGCAACTAGACATTTCCAAGGCGTTCGATTCGCTGTCTTGGCCTTTCTTGGGGGTCATGGACGCCATGGGATTCAGCGCACGTTGGCGAAGCTGGATCGTCTCGCTGCTCAGCACCGCTTCTTCTCGTGTGATCCTGAACGGACAGCAAGGGAAGCCAATCCATCACATGAGAGGTGTGCGCCAAGGAGACTCTCTGTCACCCCTCCTGTTCATTCTCGCAATGGAGGTTCTATCCAAGCTCTGCGCCAAGGCTTGCTCGGTCAGGGTACTCTCAAGCAACCGGAGCTGGTGATGATCAAATTCCAATGCAGCATTTATGCCGACAATGTGATCCTCTCATTGTATGTGTTCGACTGATCTACTCTCAACTTGTTTTAGCTTATTCGCTCTCACAGAACACTATTGAATCAGCCGAAATCAGCTTGCTTCTGGATCAGCCGAACACGAAATTTGATGCGCAGCCGGCCTAGCGACCAACCTCGCCATGTGCTCCATCATGTCAATTTTTAGAGGCGGATACTCGATCGAAGAGATTAAGCGTATTTTGGGCTGCCAGCTGCAACCATTCCTAATCAAATATCTCGGCCTTCCCCTCAGCATCAAGAAAATCCCCTAGACGCAGGGAAGTAAAGAATATCAATATTTATGATATTTATATTAATCGTTAAATATATTTTTATAATAAATTTATTTAGAGATACAAATGTTGATAATATTTTTTTATAAATCTACCCATACTAAAGAAATTTTGATCTGCACAGAACACACAATGACATTTATTTTTGGAGTGAGTAGTTTGGAGGAGCTCTCTCAGACAAAGCCTGAAACTAGTTTGGAGGAGCTTTCTCTCTCGGATAAGACTCTACTGTAGCTAGGAGCTGCAGTTGATTTCTGATCCGGCTGTTAACTCCAAACAGACTTTACTGTAGCTACGAACTGTAGAAGCTGAAGTTGCAGCCGCAACAGTCTATCACACGTGTCTATCTCTATCGTGTCACGCGTACGAAAGGTATGAAAAAACTCACTAGCAACAGAGAAGTAGCAGGCCCGTGAACCCCTCTGAGCCCACCGAGGCCACAATCAGAACGTCTGAACCCGCGACATGAAGATGTCAAACTGTCGAAAGCTTCGTCAGGATTCAGACAGTGGAGACACCGGGACGGGTACACGCAGACCGCGGGGAGCCCGGCCTCTCAAACGGCAGACGTCCCAGTGCCAGTACAAATGCCGCTGCGGTTGCTGCACCGTCAGAGCCGGCAATCCCATGCATCGCAGCATCACAATCGCGCTAATAAACAAACAACACGCGACAGACCAATGCCATGCCATGTTCGTTTTGTTGATAAACCATGGCTGAAAGTACTGTTGTCTAATTTGTTGCGAAAGAAAAATACTATTCGTTCACTTAAAAAAAAATATGGCTTTTAACCCAAGCGAACAAGGAGCAAACAACTGCGTCAACAAGATTGTACCACTGCACTGAAGACGATTGTACATTCTGTTCCTAGGTGTAGCCACTTTTACAGGCACTTTCCTGCCTTGTGCCTTCTTATCCGATCCAATCCCCCTAACACCATTCTCAGACATACAACTGCAGCTCAATGTTACTACACTGCAACCACAGGATGGGCCCTAACACAGGATGAACGCAAAAGAGAAATCGAAACTACAAAACTAGAGTATTTGATGAGGACTCTCCCTTTCTCCATCGACGCGATAAGTTTCCTTCTGTCACCATTGATTCTTCTGAAAGAGCTAGCTAACTAACTCTCTCCCAGCAACTGTTAGAAGCAGAACATATGTACAGACACTAGGCTCTTCTTCTTGATGTTGTTGTCCTCCCTTCCTCTAGGGAAAGATCAGGCTGGCTGGGCTAGAACTCGGTTGTGGTTGTGGTCACCTTCATAGGTAACAATCAGCATCGAGGGGTCGTCCACACACCTCTCAACATGCTTCCTCGCGGGGCACCCTCTCACACTGCTACACTTGTAATAACCCCTGCAAGGCAGCCAGCTTGTGAGTATTTGTAATCTGCATATTTGACAAAGGTACAAGACAGTGATCTGTGTTGCAAAAGCAGTAGCCAGTTGTAACCTTCCTTGGATTGCAACAGGTGTGCTACCATAATTAGAACAGGTTTCTTTCAAACCACATGTAAGCTCAGTGACCAGTATGCTTATTGTAAAATAGGAAACAAAACTGAATAACTTGATTAGAAGCCAAATGAGCCAATGCTATAAGCAGCATCTAAAGAGTAGGGGAACACTTGTTCAGATTTTTCATATCAGTAATCCTTTGTGGTGCGTGCTACCATGAGAGATGATGCATTCTAGAACACGGAAAGGAGAAATACTAACTTTGAACTCAACAGAAATGGTGGTCTCGTATGCAACTAAAATAGCATCAAGTCAGTGGGTACGACTACACTATAAATTAGCAAGTACCAAATCGATATAAGCAGATATCATTAAATATGGACCGCATATACTCTAGTAACAAACACTTCAAATTAACACAAAAAGATTTAAAGGGTCACAGATGGACAAGTATTCAGTACCTAGGATGTGGGGATCCCTTAATTGGCTTCTGCCCATACTTCCTCCATGAGAACTCATCAGCTGGGATGTCTGCAATCTTGTTGCTTATTGCAGGGACTTTGATGGACCTCCTTATCCTTAGCTTCCTGCAATTACATACAAAAAGGTGATTGTTAGAAACAAATTTAAAAAAAAAACATAATGCAAGTAGTTAGCTATCCGTTCATAACCAAGAATTCCAACCTTTTCTTTGAACAACGGCATCGGCTCCCGGTTGTGCACCGACCACTCCCATCCTCCTTACCAGCACACCTTCTCCTGTGCACCAGGCCCAGCTCTGGTGTGCTAGATGTCTGAGAGCCACTAACTAGCTGGAACGGCCTGCTGGCCCGACTTCCACCCAAACTGGCAAGACTCCCTTCCATGCTCAGAGACGAAAGGAACGAGCGAGACGATGACGCCGTGCAATTCGAGCTGTCAAACTTGAGATTCACACCCTTACTACCACCACCACCACCACCACTGCTTAAGCTACCACCCTGATCACCAAGATTGCTCCTCTTCATCATCTCATTCTGAATCTTCATCTGGTGCATGAGCTGAAACCTCTGGTAGCTCTGGTTCTGCTGGAGGAAATGAAGGTGAGCGGCGGGCAATGCCGGGGTGGGCGTCCCTGCAGGAGGCGCAACGGACACTGGCTGGACCATCTGGACCGGAGGGGCCTTGGACGACGGCCCCTCCAGACCGGCAGCCGGGTTCTCTAGCAGCAACCTCTTGGGGAACTGGGCAGGGATCCTGATAGGATCCTTAGACGACGAGCCCTCCATCTGGTGGTACCTCGGGAACAGCTGGAGGCCAGTGATCGGGCTCTGGCTGGGCGTCTTGGCCACAGTGGCGGCGGCGGCGGCGGTGGCCAACGCAGAGCTCTCGAGGAAGAGGTTGCTGTCGAAGATGGGCAGGGGCTTCTTGATCTTCCTGACCCTAGCGTGGCCCTGCAGCTGCAGGCCATTGCCGTTGGTGTTGGAGTTGGAGAGCTTGGCCGTCAGGGAGCCGAACTTGGCGACGGCGTCCCCGGTGGCGGCCACGAGGTCCTTGCTGGGGACGAGCTGGCCGTGCGGGTTGGAGAGGAGCGCCAGCACCCGGTGGCAGCTCTGCACTGCCGTCCTGTTGGCCTCCTCCGTCCCCTCCATGGACGGCCCCATTCCGCCCTCCCTGCAACCAAACAATCACTCACTGAGTCACTGAAATCAAACCACTGCCTCAGCCGCAAAGCGCAATTTCTTGCGGTGACAGCACAAGCATTCCGCTCCGTACACAAAAGTAAAATACAGACACGCAGGTTGATACGCGCGCGGTGGCTCTAATCATTCCATGCCATAAAAGAATTGCAAGCCTCCCTAGATTTGCAGCCTGAATAAATATAAAAGTAGCAGCAGATTCCCACAATGATGAGGCACATGAAGGCGGCATTTCAGCAGATTCCCAAAATTGGGCATTCGAGCACGGGAACATGGCGCTTAAATGGTCCAAATCAGTACTAAAACTATGCAACATGACAAGCCAACCCAACAAACACCTGAGACCTACACGACGCCGCTAGCAGAAAAAGCCCAGGCGCCATCGCCGCCACCACCACCCTGCTGCTCTTCTCCCTCTCCCCCTCCGCCGTAAAAGACAACCACTGGAAAATATCAAGGAGAGGAAACCCTACGCCAGCCAGCAAGCAATCGGCTGCTTCGCGCCCCCATCGATATGGGCACAAGGCTAAAGCTCGGCACCAAATCGGCAGGGGAGGGAGCAGCAGAGCACGTACGCGCATGCGAAACCAGAGGAGGAGGAGCAGGAGAAGAAGGTCGCAAACCTCGCCGAGCGAAGCCCGGCCTCGCCTGGTGTGGCGACGACGAGCTCGGGGAGGGTGGAGGCCTGCTGGAGGAGGACAGGGACGCTCTCGCCCTCGGCTGGTAACCTGGTTACAAGCGAAGGAGCAGCAGCAGCAGCCCCCGCCCGTGGTGTCTGCGGAAGTGCTGAGTGGTATGAGTCCAAAGCCCGGCGCTCGACAGAGTGGAGTGAGCGACGATTTATATATATAAATAAACAAACAAACAAATACTGGTAGGGCGGCTGGCGGCCTGGCGCAGCCCTCGCTCAGCGGGGAGCGCAGCGCAGTGCCCTCGCTTTTCCGCCTTTCTTTATTCCGCTTTGTGCTCGCTCTCCCTCCGTCTCGTATTCCTTCCTCGGGCCAGGCGTGCTAGACATACTGCTGCGCGGGGCGGTGGGGCCCGGGGCGATCCCGGCCGTCCATCGCGCCCGTCCCTGTCCTGCGCTTGGACTTTTTCTTTGTCTCTGATTTTTTTTTTCTTCGGGAGGGTGGTGGTGGGGCTGGGCCGCTAGCCTCCGGCCGGGCTGCCGTTTCGTCAAAGGTGTGAGCTGTGTCAGAGGCCAGCCACAGTGGACAGTGGTGGTCTTGTGGGCCCGCGGTTTCTCTCTCTCTCTCTCTTCCTGCTCCTCGTGAGCGTTGGGCGCTGGACTCGCCCCTCTCCCCCTCTCACTCGCCCGCCACCTCGCCGGTGCGCTGGACAGCGGTGTGTTGCGCTGTGCGTGAGCCAGTGCTATCTGTAGTAGTAGTGCTGCGGCGGCGGCTGCTGCTGTTTTTTGGCTGGAATTAATTGTGCTAGAGAGAGATGCTATAGATAGATCGAATCCGGAGGATGTCCAGTTCATAATTATGCCAGCAAAATATGTTTCTCTACAAATAAATTAAATCTTAGAGATATTCCGTTTCATATATCACTATGTAAATTTAATCGTAGCATATCCTTCTTAGAGATATATCATTCTGCAAGTTAATTACTACTGATATAAGATATATTTTAAAACCACTAGCTATTATGCAAGTTGATTACTAATGGTACAAGATTTATTTTAAAACTACTATATCTCTAACACTAGTGAAATTAGCCAGGTTGGCACTGAGTTGTTCGGCCTGTGCTATGTGCTCATGATACATGCACCCATAAGACACGCGGAATTTTTTAGAGGAAAGCTATATTATATTATTATTAGTTGTCTAGCTGCTCACACCATTGCGTGGCGGTGTAGATTTTAGATAAAATTAATTGTGCTAAGAAAATAAAATATAAATTTAATCAAATCTAGAGAATGCACAACTCATTTATTATTGTAGGGCTCTCTACGCCATATCTTTTGCCTAAATTTAATCGTAGCATATTGTTACTTACTGTCTATTAATAAAAGCTACTATATGTGTAGTACAAGTGAACCTGGCTATATAGGTGCATGTCATGGTTTTGCTCGATCTAATGTGACGATGTGTACTAGCTATAGGCGTCTAGAAGCTTAAGTGCTAGCTTTCAGCCACAGCTGGCACTAGTTGTCTTACATCCTAGCCATAAAGCTACATGGAAGTTTACATGTCACTATACAGCAAACTATGATGTTAGCTGTCTCACTAAGGGTATGTTCGTATAGTTTGATGGGCATAGGATCTCGCTTGTTTAGTCATCAAAACAAATAGATGTTTTTTTTCTGCTAGCATAATATAGTATATTTGTTTGGTACTCAAATCTTCCCATTAATAATATAGGAGTGAGCAATATATGCATGCTCAGCACAATAGTCTATAACCTAGGCGAAAGTGTATCATAATAACTAATATACTAAAATAAAAGAATATAGGGACAACAAGACATAGTATGTCTCTTATGACACCATCGGTTGGCCCGTGATTCTGTAAATTGACAAGCTATTGATCCCCTTGGTTTTCTATTTCTGCAAGCCATATTTGCATGGTATCTGTTCTCAGCGACAATTCAGCAGCCCTGTTCTTTGCTACTATACCCCTGAAGATCTAAGCATCAGCTGGTGGCTTTGCTGCTCGAGAGAAAGAAGCGAAGAACCGAGCCGTTGCTATGCGTTTGGAGCTGGTGGAACTCACGAGCGGCGAAGCCCCCGCCGCAGAGGATCCGCGCATCCTCCCCTGAAGCCGTTGGAGAGCTACGGCGAACGACCGCGCAACACGTACAAGACAAAGGAGGCGTGGGCCCGGCCCCGGGCGGGGAAGGGTGCGCGTCGAGGCGCGTGCGGGTCCATCGCCTCCTCGCCGCGCCACCGCCACGTGGGCCCCTCCGGGCCATCCTCCGTCGCCCATACCCTTCCCCCTCGTTGGCCGGCCCGGACGCAGGCGCCGCGCAGCCGCGGTCGTGCCCGACCCCGACCGTCTTCTGATGAGACCCGACCCGTCCAAGTTGACGAGCCAGCCAGGACCCGGTCCCGTCCCACGCCGCCCGCCCTCCTCCACTGTTTCCTGTGCCCTCGCCTAGAACTAGAAAAAGGGAATGGTCACTTTTTTTTTCATAACAGGTCACATTTTTTGTGTGTGTGTTTGTGTAGGAACACTCACACGTCACTCGCTACTCTGGATGAGTTTATTTATACTTATTAAGTCCAGACACTTTATATAGTTTGTTGGGGAATGGGGATATTGTTTTTTCTTTTGGAAGTGCGGCGAGACCGTGTTTAGGTAGAATCACAAGTGTCGTGACAAGATTAGTCGTGGGAAAAGGCATGCACGATACGGGTGCATCCGATCGTTTCGACACCAGGCTCGGGGAGTGAGGGCATACGAGAAAAGAATGTCTCCTCGTTCTAGGTTCTCAGTTCTCACCAACAACTTCCATCCTGTACAAAAAGGATTTCAGTCCTAAATATTTTATTCCAGCCTTATCTTATCATTGCGAGAAAAAGGCTTCACGATTCTATCAATTGTCAATTATCGTATTGTAAATTGTTAGTGGACATAGAGTGAGACAGTGAGTGCAGGTGAGAGGGAGAAAACTATTGTGAAATTGTTTTGGATTGGAGCAAAATTTACTTTTGAAGCACATCAATATTTTTTTCCTTTTTGCGAAACAAAGTGTAGTCGCAGAAGCTAATATACACGCGACACATGCGCAGGGACAGATCTAGGATTTCGTCTAGGAGGGCTTCTTTAACCTCAAGACAGCTTCAACCTCTCCTCAAGGTGAATCCATGGCAAAAATTTCTAGGGGGCTGCATGGGTCCGGCGACCATAGGAGGGCTAGAGAGCCCCGCCCACTGGATCCGTCTCTACATGCGCAGTCACTATTCGCCAGTATGAGCACTACTGACAGACTGAGTACATAGATCTGAATTAGCATAGTCATTTCGCTGACAGACATGTTCTCTACCTGTCGGGTTCATAAACACGAGGTCTCTCATGGACCTGCTTTCCAGCAAAAGCTCGGCCCAGCAGACAACGTTGCGAACAACGCGCAACTCCTGGGCCGGCCCAAAAAACCTCACAACAGGCCAGAAGGGCGATCCCGCCTCTCCGACCGGAAGGCCTGGCCAAGGAGGAACGACGCTCGCTTCCGATTCCGGCCGCCTCTCCGATTGGAAGGCCTGGCCAGCCCGCATCCAACTCCGACGCCGCTTCTGACTCCGGCCCGCCTCTCCGACCAGAAAGCCTGGTCGACGCTTACAGCTTTTCTCTGACTGGCACAGTCGGAGCCGATCGGGAACGCCCGCTCGGTGAGGACCCAGAAAACGGACGGAGCAAGTAAGGTAGGGCGTTCAAGTCAACCACAATACCAAAGACCGTACACTTACAGTATCGACATGACATGTCAGAAGGGTGCCCTACAACCTTCCAGGCATGTCAGAACCCAAGCAGTGTTGTGGGCACCGACGTTTTGCCCTACAGTGTTATGGGCGTCGTCAACTCCCATACCAGACGAACACGGTAAAAACCCCCCACATGCCTCTAGGGCATCAACAGTATGGTAGGCGTCGGCGTCTGCCATACCAGAAGAAGACGACGGAACCTCCCACGTGCATCCGACATTAAAACAATATTGTGGGCGCCTACAATCATCTTGTACCCGATAGCGTGGGCAATAAGACTTAGTGGTATACGTACTCTCTCTCTCACTTGTAAAGGCCGTCCCCTTCATATACAAAAGGGGACGCGCTCTCTCCCAATGAGGACGATTCGACACAGACGATTCAACCACCAGCGGATCCATTCACGATCAATCTCACAAACACAGAGCACTCGCTCGAATACTTAGCGCACGTAGGAGCTCCCGTCACTCTCGGTCCTTCAGTCCAGAGTCCGACCGGACCTCTTTCACCCCTTATTTTTTTCCCTCTCGTTTGTAACCCCACAACAAACTTCGAGCACCTGGGCTCAGGAATAAAGTCACCGACCAACTCAAACTGGATGTAGGGCACGTTGCCTAAACCAGTATAAACCCTGTGTCATTTAGTGCTAGGCCACATCCGATCATAACGTACGGCAAAACTACAAATATTTACGTGTTGATCACTTTCTGCACCGACACTACCACTTAAAAAAGAGCCCTTATGTTAATTCCTAGAAGAAATTTAGAAAAATACGAGCACTCCTGTTGGTCAAAATTAAAATTGTGAAATGTTAGCACTCATGCGTAGGAGTAGTATTAAAGAACTCTACTAAGTGTAAATAGAGGCCCCGTTCGCTTCGCTGAAAAAACAAACAAAAACACTGTTCCGACTGATTTGTTGTGAGAGAAAAACACTGTTCCGGCTGTAAAAATAAGC